CAACTGAATCAACAACCAATTGCATTAGTATTATACGATTAAATATGTCATAATTAAAAGTCAATCTACAATCAATCGCGATTATTGCAATTTTAAGCAAAACATTCAAAAATAATATCACTATTTAAGGCTCAATCCCACATAGTATTGGAAACACTATTGGGAATGGTATTTAAGGCTTGGCTTTACCACTTCCTTGTTGAGTGATAGAGAACAAGAGGGACTCTCGGGCGTCGCCACCACCGCCGTCCCGTCTCGTGGTCGTGGTAATACGTGTCTTCGACACGTCTGCGCGAATACTATCTTTTTAGAGAAAATTCTTAAGAAACAAATGCAATACCGTCGTTGCGATTTTGGACTATCGCAACGAATTTGGAATAAATCGCAACGCGAACTTCGACTATCGCAACGAACTTGGAATAAATTGCAACGAATTTGGAATAAATCGCAACGCGAACTTCAACTATCGCAATGAACTTGGAATAAATCGCAACGCGAACTTGGACTATCTCAACGAATTTGGTATAAATCGCAACAAATTTGGAATAAATCGCAACGCGAACTTCGACTATCGCAACGAACTTGGAATAAATCGCAACGCGAACTTGGACTATCGGAACGAATTTGGAATAAATCGCAACGAATTTGGAATAAATCGCAACACGAACTTCGACTATCGCAACGCGAACTTGGACTATCGCAATGCGAATATGTAAATCTAAATGCGATAGTCGAAGTTCGCGTTGCGAATATGGAAACTGATTTGCGATACCGGAGATCGCATTGCGAATTATCGATCGTATTGCGATTTAGTTGGTCATTTTGGCAAATCCAAAAAAAGTTGGTTAAAATCGTATATTATAAGGCATTTTTGGTCACTGAGGTTATTTTCTCTAAAATAAAATGGTGGCTGGAAGACCTGAACCCGTGACCCCAGGTTATGGCCACCCATTCCATGGACACAAGGCTAGGCCTTTATTAGTGTTTTTATTTAATAAAAATATGTATTATTTATTTTGGCTCGGGATATACCTAAAAACAAAAGCAGATACCCATCATTTGTGAAACCTAAAATCAAACCCTTTGATCCTCAAGCTTTCCCCCGTCGATCTACTCTGGCCGTCGTTATTGTACCCCGTCGCCATCATCAAAACCAGTATCCTCCAGTGACTCAACCCTGACCTTTAGTTCACCAATCGATCACCGATCGTCATACAAGCCCCTCATCGTCGCTCCCTACTCTGATCGGTAATGTAAGTGATTGTCACCTCTAATCGAAGCACTAAGCCACTGCGAAGCAACCCCAATCAACCATCGGTGCTAAACATCCGCCGTTCATCGTGGATGAACGTGTTGAACCATATTTTATAATATTTTGATCTAACGATTTAAGGCAAAATGTTTTTTGACTTGATTAAATTTGTTTAAAGTTTTCAAAAATAATTCAAAGTCCATTAAACTAGAATTTGAGCAAAAAACAAGTTTTTTTGGGTACTTAATACCGATAATGTTCTTACAGTATCGAGACTATATGAAAATACCATATTGTTCATTTGGTACCGATACTAAAGGTAAGAGAAGTATCAATACTCTCTAGGTAGTATCGATACTACCAGTTGTTTTCCAAATTGCTAAAATTCTAGAATGCAAAATAGGTATTGATACTCAAAGGGGTACCGATAATACTTTACACAGTACTATCGAATTACAAAGGTAATCTGATACTCATTAAAGGAGTATCGATACTTATTGTCCTGGGCAGTTTTATTTTGCAGAAAATTAATCCCTAACAGCTCCAAAACATCCCCAACGGCTAGAAACGACCACAAACAAATTCCAATATATAAAAACAAGTTGAGACACTTGAAGAAGGTTAGGAACACCTATCCAAACAATCAAACACGAGAGAAGAGCTTTTCATTCTTATTTTCCTTTCTTTTATAAATATTTATGTTTTTTAGCTCATTTCAAATCTTTTATTTGTTTTTTTGTGAGCTTAAATCTTGTAAACACCCTTCATTTTGAGAGGTTTTTATTGTTTACATCTTGTTCCTTTTGTAATGGAGATTGGTTATAGGTTATCATTTGAAAAACTAGGGAGTTGTAAAGTTATCTCTTTATCATTGAAAAAGAAAAAACAAATTACTGAATTTGTTAGAAAATCCTAAGTGAGGAGTTAAGGTGGTGGATGTATACTTGGTTGAGAAGTCGAACCACTATAAATCCTTGTGCAAATTTTCCTATCTCTTTATACTCCATATTCCCTAAACTCAAAAAGCCAATTCACCCCCTCTTGGCAAATTATTCGGTTGTTCAATTTAGCTTCATCAAAAATCCCAATAATTGGTATTAGAGCTTGACTCATTAGAAGGTATAAAAACCTTAAGATGATCCTTGAAGAATCTCTATCCCTTTTCGACACAGTCGAGAAGATGACTTCCACCTCCGACTCGTTCGAAGACTCTCAACTGATCTACAAGCCTCTATACTTCAATGGAGTCAACTACCATCATTGGAAGAAATTAATGAAGCTATTCATACAATCCAATGATCTTGATGCATGAGAGATGATCGAAAACGGCTACTATTCTCCAAAGAAGAAGATGAAGGAGTAGATTACCCAAGAACTGAAGAAAGTTCAACAAAATGCTAAGGTCATACATGTTGTTTTGTGCATTTGGTCCCGATGTTTATGAAGGAGTTTCTTCTTGATCAAATACCAAGGAGCTTTGGAATAAGCTCGAAGAATTTCATGGTGACAAGAAAGAACCACCACCAAAGGTAGTGTGCTTAATGGCTCTTGAAGATCCCGATGTATCTTCTAACTCAAGTGAATCTAATTCATATTCTTTTAATGAGTTACAAGATGCATACGATGAATTATTTTTGGAGTTTGAGACCATGAACTTCAAATATAAGAAAAAAGATTTCAAAATTAAAAGTAAAAAATGATTTTCTCTTGAAAGCTAAATTGGATTTCGAAAAGCAAAATGAAACTTTGAAAAAATGATTTAGAGCTTTCAAAAGTAAAAATTAAAATTTTGAAAAATAATTATTTGATTTAAAAGTTAAGCTTGAATGCTTAACAAAAGAATATGAAATCATTTTAAATGATTCATCTAATTTCATAACGACAAAATGCTCACATTGTCATTATCATGGTCATAAGGAACATACTCATCCTTTAAAGAAAGGAAAACATTTTAAAATTAAACAAGTATGTATTCCTAAGGGAACAAAGGGCATTGAAACTAACGCTCAATGATCCATAGCAATTGGGTACCAAAATCCAATTGAATGTCTCTTGTAGGTGTGTTGGAGCAATGGTGATGAAAGTGAAGATATTCAAATGTTCTAGCCACATTTAGAAAGGAATGGGTAACCTCTAAGCTTAATGTTTTTGTTTTGATTAATTGGTTGCCTATTTGTTGTATGCATGCATGAGTTTTGATTTTAAATAATTTTATGTTTTCTATCTCATGTATGTTAAAAAGTGTTGTGATGGATTTTTTAAAGTTTTAATGATTTTTCATAATTTTTTTTTCATCATAATGAATTTTGGTCAAAATTAGTTTTAATGCTTTATTTTTACAATTTTTTTTATTTTTGACCTTAATTTAAATGCTTATGCATGTGATTTATTACAAATGATATATCTCTAACAATTGATATCAATTTTTCAAATGCATAACATTTTTATAGTTTTATGCACATACTCTTAAATACAACAATTAATATTGCATAACGTATATTAGACTTGGATATATTGAATTTCTTGTGCTACTAACATGTTTGTTCATCTTTGTTGAAATTCAATGTCTCTTACGTGTCAAAATTTTAAAGTTAATTTTTTTTGAATGCTTTTATTGAGGGAGAGCTTTGATTTTTCAAATGATTTTATGCTAAAATTTACCACTTACTCTCCATTGTTATTTTTGAACTTTAAAGTTGAATTATTTTTGATATAACAAAAAGGGGGAGAAGTATAGGTTTGAAAAATTCAATTTCAAGAATTCAAAATGGGGAGCTTTAATTTTCCAAATATTGCTATTTTTCATTAAATATTTTATTAAGGGGAAGTTTTGCCAAAACAAATTTTCAAATGTTTTGTTATATCAAAAAGGGGAGATTGTTAAACCATGTTTTATAATATTTTGATATAACAAATTAAGACAAAATGTTTTTGGACTTGATTTAATTTGTTCAAAATTTTCAAAAATAATTCAATGTCCATTAAACTAGAATTTGATCACAAAACAAGTTTTTCTGCGTACATAGTATCGATACTATTCTTACAGTATTGATATTATATGAACAATACCGATATTGTTCGTGTGGTACCAATACCAAAGGTAAGAGAAGTATCGATACTCTCTAGGTAGCATCAATATTACCAGTTGTTTTCCAAATTGCTCAAATTCTAGAATGTAAAATATGTACCGATACTCAAAGGGGTATTGATACTACTTTACATAGTACTATCGATACCATGAGCATAGTATCGATACTGGGCAAGCCCAACGGTCTTTAACGACTAGTTTATTTAAATATTAAAAAGGTAGTACCGATACTCATTAAAGAAGTACCGATACTCCCTGTTCTAGGCAGTTTTATTTTGCAGAAAATTAATCCACAGGAGCTTCAAAACATCCTCAACGGCTAGAAACGACCATAAACTCATTCCAACATATAAAAATAAGTTGAGGACACTTGAAGAAGGTTAGGAACACCTATCTAAGCAATCAAACACAATAGAAGAGTTTTTCATTCTTATTTTTCTTTTTCTTGTAAATATTTGTCTTTTTTATGCAAATCCTTTATTTGTTTCTTATGAGCTTAAATCTTGTAAACACCCTTCTTTTTGAGATGTTTTTTCTTGTTTACATCTTATTCATTTTGTAAAGGGTATTGGTTATTACTAAGCATTTGAAAATCTAGGGAGTTGTAAAGGTTATCTCTTTATCATGGAAAAAGAAAGAACAAATTAGTGAATTTGTTAGAAAATCCTTAGTGATGAGATAAGGTAGTGGATGCAGACTTGGTTGAGAAGTCGAACCACTATAAATACTGGTGCAAATTTTCCTATCTCTCTATACTTCTTACTCCTTAAACTCAAAAAGCCAATTCACACCCTTTTGGAAATTATTCAATTGTTCAGTTGAGCTTCATCAAAAGTAACAACAGAACGTTTAAAGTTTCATTGAAACCCCCCTATCGCCTCAGTCAATCACGATTTTCGAAAGCCATTGTCGTTCATTTAAATCACCACTGGCATGGTTGGACTCCTCATCATCGTTTGCTCGAAACTCGACCCTTGGGTCGTAACTTTGTCACCGTTTTCTCCGTCGCCAGTGTGGGTAAGCTCAGATTTAATTTTCAATTAATTTTTCACTCAGTTTTGCTTGATTATTGGTTGTGTTTGAGTTGTTTGAAGACTAACTTGCACCCGGAGTAATCGTTCGGCCGACTCAACCCCTTTCTGTCATCTCACGTGATGTCACGCTCTGACAGCGCGCATAGGGCTCCTCCTTTAGCCATGGACCCTTCTAGAAATGGTCCAGGTGGGCTGAACTGTCCTAACCCAATCTGAACTGGGTTTGTTTAACCCAGTTTAAGTCAACCCAAATCGGTTTAACCCTTTGACTTTAACTTTGACTTTGACCAGTTTGACCGTTGACTTTGACTGAAAAGTCAAAATTTCTGAAAAGTCATATTTTATGTTTTTCAATGTCATGAGTTTGGATCCGAATTCTGTTTTTCCAAATTCAATCCTGAAAGTATCCGAATTAACCGTTAAACTTGAATATGTATATGTAATTTAAGTATTCATTTAAATGGTTTAATTAAGTGTATCTAATTTAATTTGAGGCCCAATGACTAAATTATCTTGTCGTTTAATTAAGGTTCTTGTGATTCTCCCAACCGTTCATCTGCTCGGCCAGGTTCTTCCTGAACTACTCGTTTGCGAGAGCTCGTGATTACTCGTATAGTTCTACAACCTTGTTAAATACTCAGTTTAGTGTACTACTTCGTTAATAATTTTATTCTGATATGACTTAGGTTATTGTACAGTCGAAGAGTGTAGTGAAGATGGTGCTCGATAGTTCTACCAGACTGATTCTTTTTGCATTGTGTGTTCCTTATGTGCTATTTTTATATATATATTTTTAATACATGTTTGAAATATCATGTGCACATGATTGGTTTACTTGATTTGCAATATGGCTAGTTGATCTGATTTAATTTCACATGATTTATCTATTTCAAGCATGATTTATGATTTACTGAAGTTTTATGTTTGCTTGCCTATTTCATGTTCTCTAGTTACTACTTTTATTTAATTGATATATGTCTGAACTCTATTTTTCTGCTACTACTGATTACTGTTTGAAAACTTTTTTCCTTCGGGGTACTCTGGGATCTCGTATGAAGTCTCTGCAGGTTCAGCTCCGATCAAGCTAGTAATTCCTCATGCAAGTTCATTACCAATCAAGCAGGTAATTCCTTATGGATCTAAGGTGACCCTTGGGTAGGATCCTAGTCCCAATGGGCCTAGTGGTAAGACCTTATGGACCCTAAGGTACTCCTTTAGGGTGACTCCTTTGTTATGTGCATTGGGTAAGTTCTTACGGGCCTGAGGGCATACCCCTCAAGTGGGCACCTATGCTTCGGCTAGGTTAAGATCTTATGGATCTAAGGTGCTCTCTTAGGTTGACACCTACGCCCTTTGGGCCTAGGGTAAGTCCTTATGGATGTAGTTTTGGGGAATTGCATGTGGTGTATAGTTAGAGGGTTGTTCTACATTTTAAACTACAAGTCTACTATCATTTTCATAACTTTGATAATGAACCGATTTGAAAATTAACTGTATGTTTTTATTTTTGCACTGCTAGAACATATTGAGCTCCTTAACATACTCCCCTAAACTTTCCCCTTTCAGATACTTTTTTATAGGTGACCCGAATCTGGAACTTGGATGATCAATGCATTCGTACATGATTATTTTATTATAATGTTTTTATTTTCCGAGTTTCATTTACTTTGGGTGACATGTGCCAATATTTTGAAAATACTTGTTTTACGACGTATGTTGCTTTTGTTACTGATGTTATATTTGCTTTAGTACTGATTTTGGAATATTTTATTCAATCCTTATAACTTTAATTGTTGGAATTGGACTTTAATGTTATCAGCTATATTTTTAAAGATGTATATTCGTAATATAATTTAAAACTATTGAAAAATATTTTGGAAATTTTGTATCGTAATCTGTTAGATCTAGTCGTAGAACATAGGTATAGTTTAGAGGGTTACATTTAGTTGGTATCAAAGATTTTGATTTTTCTAAAACCTCGGATTGTGAATGGATCCTAAATAAAAATATAATTTTAAAATGTTTTACAAAATAAGTCACAAAGGCCATGTCACCAAATTTTTATGAGTTTAACTATGTACGAAACTCTAAGTGCAAAATCTAATCCTAGGTTTTACCATTCTGTAGTGAACTCGAGGTTTTCCAAGATGTGTGCTAGGCATGATCGATGATTTAGCCGTAGGCGAGGTCGAGCGACAAGATTTACGGACCCCATAGACGAGACGCGTATAGATTATCCACCTTTGGTAGATAATTATACTCCTGTAACCCCGATATATCTGCCCCTACTCCTGGTATAGGTTTGACTACTCTAGTTAGAGGAGCGACAATTCTGAGTCTGATCCTGTGAGGGTAGTATTACATGATAACCTAGGTAGACAATTTCTCCAGTTGATTTAGGGAGCGGTTGGAGTTACTGGCGTTACACCCAGAGTTTCTATTTCTCAAACTTTGATTGCTAATGGAGTTTTGACCTTTGAAGGCCCTACTGGTGGAGTTCCAAAGGAGACTGAAGATTGGATTTGCGATACCGAGTGACGTATGAATTAGTTAGGTTTAGATCCGTAGCAGCGTTATTTAGGAGTCATCTCTATGTTGAACAGAAATGCCCACACCTGGTGGGAGTCTGTGGTTAATAGTATTCCAGTTGGTCGTCTGACCTGAGACTTTTTCAGAGAGCATTTTATGAGTCGTTTCCTCATATATCGATATTTAGCACAAAGATGACAGCAGTTTCAAGACCTGATTCAGAGAGATATGATAGTTTATGAGTATGAGATAGAGTTTTTGAAGTTGGAGAAGTATGGTTCTAGTTTGGTACCTACCGAGAGGGATATGTATCGAAAGTTTTCTCAGGGACTCATATACGAGATGCATCATCAGGTGGTTACTCATCAGGATGAGGTGTTCGATGTTGTAGTAAGGAGAGCAAAAGACGTTGAAGAATTTGAGGTTTTTGCATCTGATAGAGATAGGGTAGATCAAGAGTGATCTAGGAAACCTTTTGGTCAGTCTGAGTCTTATGCATGCCCTGATAAAAGAACTCGTACTGATGCCTATCAGAAGAGCCATAATAGTTCGAGGCTTGTGTCACCTCCATATCCATCAATTAGTCGAGGCAATTCTTCAGGTTTCACTCCGATGTCGAGTTACGAGCATTATCGAAATCGACAAGAGGGAGAGTGTCGTAAGAAGATGAGTAACTGTTATAGCTGTGGATTCAGTGAACACTTCTGAGAAATTGTCTACATCCAGCCTCTGTTGATCGGACCCCCGCTCAGGCTCCTGCACGTTCACAGCCTTCTGTCAGACTTTCGCTAGGAGTTACAGTCAGGGTAGGAATTTCGGATCTGTTTCTAGGATCGACAACAGAGCTCGATCGCAAAGTAGAGGAACATCTACTTCTGAGGCTAGACAATATGCCCTTGTCTACGCTACCCAACGTTCATGTGACCGAGATGAACCAAGGACTTTTACATGTATATTTATTGTTATTTCTGTTTCTTTCCATGCATGTCTTATAACGCCCTTTCTATACTCGAGTTTCGTATCCTGAGACCCTCAAATTTTTAATTTAAGTAACTTAGATCACTGTTTTCGTTCCAAATCTAGCGAGTTTTTCCGTTATTGTCAATTGAGTAATTAATATTTCTCATTTGTATAAACTTTAAGAGGCCTAGTTTTCGTTTTATGTTCGACTCAAATGAATTTCAAGGATAAAATTATTTTAAGGGGATGAGAGTTGTCACACCCCAAAATTTTGGATAAAAATATTAGAAATTCATTAAATTAATTAAACTGGTTAAATTGAATTTTTGTTAATGATTTTAGGTTAAAATGTAAACCAAATATATTTCAAGGACTAGCCTTGTAACTTTCCCATAACCAAAAATATCATCTGACACAAAAATAAAAAAAATGGTGGCTGGGAGGATTGAACTCGTGACCCTAGGGTTATGGCCGCCCACGCCATGGCCACTAGGTTAAACTTTTGTTAGTGTTTTTATTTAATAAAAATATGTATTATTTGTTTTGACTCGAGCCACTGTCAATCTAACCCTTGACTCCAGGTCCTCAAGCTTTCCCCCGTCAATCTACCCCACTCCGGCACTGTTATTGTGCCCCGCAACTATCATCAGAACCAGCGTCCTCTAGTGACTCAACTCTAACCCTTAACTCACCCAATCGATCATCGATTATCGCAAAATGAGAGGAAAACCTATTTGTTTCCCCTCATCATTACTCTTTGCTCATGTCAACGGTACAGGTCACCACCACCTCCAATCAAAGCACTAGGCCACCGCGAAGCAAGCCCTAGCCAACCACCGATGCTAAACACCTATTGTTCGTCATGGATGAGCGTTTAAAGTTTTATGGAAACCCCCGTCGCCTCGATTAATCATGATTTTTGACAACTGTCGTCATCCATTTTCCTCACGCCGACGTGGTTTGACTCCTCATCATCGTTTGCTCGAAACCTAACCCTTAGGTCGTAACTTTGTCACCGTTTTCTCTGTCGCCGGTATGGGTAATCTCAAATTTAATTTTTGGTTTATTTTTCTCTTGGTCTTGATTGATTATTTGTTGTGTTTGAGTTGTTTGAAGACTACATATCACCCAAAGTACTTGGTCGACTGACCCGACCCCTTTTCACCATCTAACGAGCCACACACCGACAGCGCGTGTGGGGCTCCTCTTCTAGCCATGACCCC